ACGATCGTGAGGGTGTTGGGGGCGATGGTCAGCGAGATGTCCTTCAACGTCATTGGTCCTTCGTTCTCGCTGGCCTCTTGTCTACCACTGGGGTCGATGTTCCAGCTAAAAGTGCCATGGCTAACCTCCACGGCGAAGGACGAATCAGCGGCAGCTCCTTCGAGCACTTGTGGACTTGGAGGTACTTGTGCGATTTCGTCGGCCAAGAGGAACGTGCCAACTCGCGTAGAGGATGCCCATGCTTCTAACGCAAACATGATGGAGCTGGAGAAAACGGTGCACGGTAGCCGAGCCACGTTCATGTACGCGAGAGCTGTGAACGCCAGCGACGGCGTGAGCTCGTGGCCTTGAGCCACATACACGGCCAGACACAGTACAAGTGACAGAATCGGCGCGATCGACAGCGTCACAGTGTTGAGCACGCGCACGTACTGGTACTTTTTGAGCAGGGCCAGCTCCTCGTCTCGAATGGACGCGATGCGCGCCTCCAGCGGCGACTCCCACGCGTACAGCTTGACCACGCGCACCCCCTGGAGCATCTCGTTGGTTAGCTTGACGCGCTCGGACTGGACGGTGAGGATTTCGCGGCGGACGGCGCCAACGGCCGTGGATGTGGTGTAGCCGCTGTACAACAATGCTGCCATGACGACGCCGCCGACGACACCGGACAAGGCGCCCAGATCGAAGCCAATCATGATGAAGACGGCCAGCACGGTCACGGGCGCGACGAGGACCCATGGCCCGAGAAGGAACCCCTGGAACAACCGCTCTGAGTCCACGGATGACAGCGTGACTATCTCCCCTGACGACATGTTGCGTTTGGCAAAGCCCGACAGTTTGAGCGACTTGAGGTAGACCGAATCCATGACGATGGACTTGGCGTTCACGCCCAAGTTGGACGACACGTACTGGCCAAAGTCGATGATCGTCACGGACAAGAACGAATGGACAGTCAGCAGCGCCGCGAGGGCATACCCCGACGAGATGCCCAGGGATGTGTGGACAGGTACTTGGTCGTCGTTCGATTTGGCTTGGAGGAACTGCAGAAGCGACTTGATGATGTTGGGCTGCAGCAACATGAGCGCAGCGTACAATGCGTACAGCGCCACATTGAAGTACCATTGTGATCGCATGGTGCGCATCATGGCTTTGGCGAAGCTCGGATGCGGCTGCAGCTTCTCGTGCTGCCAGAACCCGTCAAAGCGGCTGTGGAGTACAGCGGACGTGTGTTCCGGGCACAGCTTCCACACATCTTCCTCCATGAGCGTCTGCTTGGCGCCGCGACGCATCATCGGTTCAATCCAAAACATGACAAATGTACTGAACCAGTTGGCTGTGCCCATCGGGTTAGGCAAGTCGCGCCAAGTTATGTTCTTTGGCAGGTCGTTCGATGGCAGGCTGGACGTCGGGGATTGAAGGCCATGGTAGCCTTCGTGTTGGACAGGAGATGGCGGTGCCATGTTGCCAACTTCAAAATGACCTGTTCGAAATGGTGATGACTTGGACCGAAGGTGTACTGCATGTGGCGAATTATCTACCTAATAATGAAACCGTCGAAGGAGACAACCTATCGGAAAGGTGTTCACGATGTGCTGTCATTACAACAGAAGGCGAATCTCAGTCAAGTCCGCAAGGCTTGCCAAGACGGTTGGCTGGCAGCAATTGCTAGGACGCAATGTGTTCCAACCTCGGAACCAGCTGGTTGGCCAGCTAACAATATAAACCCATGGCGCCGGCGCAATGGCCTGCCACGACACGCGGTAATTCGAAGGTGCAATAGGGAGAGTCAATACCGGTATACGAATTTCCATGTGTACAGTATACCCAATCATCGAATATATCGCACTGCATTCCCATGCATCCTGTCAAGATGGGAATTTTCGCTCGCCCCTTTGTCACGACTTTTCGTCGCCCTTCTCACGGTGACGTGACGCATCCCACGCCATCCCATCGTCAGTGTTCTCTTAGAACTATCGATGTGACATGATGTTTTCTCGCTAGCGTCAAGGATGCGGGAAATGATCAACTTTTCGATCCTCTAACCATATGGCAGTACATTAGGTTGCAAAACGAGAACATTACTTCTAACGTTATCGTTAGAGTACTGTACGTTATCGTTAGAGTACTGATTAGTGGACCAGGATTATTCGCATCGCCTCACAGAAACAGTCAATGGCGTAGTAGTTGCACAGTACCATCCATTGCGCGAATGAACTAACATACATCGCTTTATTTCCAAAACATCATCATACCGTCTAGTTTAATTCCCTTTAGACAGGTGATATTTCACAACCACCCGACAATCGCCTGGATGAAATGGTAATTCCCTCCAGACATACGGAAAAGTCATTCTTCGGAATTCGTAGGCCAGATCTTGACTTTTGTATGCAATCGTAGGCGCACACCCCAACGATTTCGCCATTTTGAAATCCTCCACCTCAATTGTTTTCCAAGTTATATACGAATTTGTAGCAAACATAAAACTTTGCTTTTCATTTGTGAATTGACGAAATCGTAGGGAGCTAGCTGGTCCTACGATTTTCATATCCAATGAGATCTCAAGAAAATCACATTGTGGGACTCCAATTGACCAATTCTCTATCGTGCAGGTCACATATCAATGGCGAACGTGAGGCTAATGTCATCGATAGCATTATGTATGTAGCAGTACGCAATTTGTACTACGTTTAACGTAGTAAGTAGTGCTTCGTAGGAAGGAGTGACCATCTTGGCAGTGTCAAAGCGATCTGTTATGTTGACAGTCGCGCTGGACGTGTTTGCGAATCAAGGCTTTTTGGAAATTCTTGTGTGGGCAAGAAACACACAAGATATCTCTGTTATGAAGCAAGTATTGAAGTATTACGGGTCAAGTTGTTGACCGTGACCTACAGTATCTACATTACTCCACATTTTCCTCTGTTCGCTAACAATTCAAGTGCACGCAAATGCATGCATTGCCAAAGGACGATCGTCAATAATGTTCATGAAGAACATGGATTCATGATCGAAATACCAATCATTGTACAGGAGTGTTTTCACTGGTTAAATATGAAATCGTAGGCAATCTACGAATTCCATAAATATGTAAGTCAAGTACGAGTATGAATAAATGCAGAACTTCACTCTTTTGACAATTCTATTGAGTTGTTTTAATATTATCACAACTTGAAGGAATCATATTTCACAGCTTACATTTAATCAGTACTTCGATAAGTATTTGAATACAAGAACCAAATGTATAATACCCAGTATGCAGTAAACACTGACTTCCTCGACAACGTCATCGAATGGATCTATCGTGCCTTCAAATGACACATCCCGCAACAAGGTCAGCCAACATCTCGTCGTCAACTGCACCTTCCACCTCATCAGGTGCGCTGTCCAACGGTTGAATCAGAGGAGCCATTCAAAATGACACTCGTAGGAAGATCATCCCATACACGAGTGATCCAATCAAGAATGGTAGTTCTGGACAGTGGCTGCAGCTTAAAGGTAGTCCCCAGGTTCTTGCTCGTCCTTCCTTGACGATGATCATGGCAATCCAGGAGTTTCGCAGTCGAATCTTCAGCGGACGGATCCAAGCGACGTCAGCGGGCTGACAGATCCAGGTAAATCGTGGCGGAATTTTCATCATCACAACGTTGAGTTGTTCAGCATAAGCGACCACGTCGTCCGTGAAGTGAGCCGAAAAGTCGTCCCACAAGAGCAAGACCTTCTTGGCTCGGTATGGGCGTGGGTCGAAGTGATTCTGCAAGAATCACAGGCCAGCATTCCACCAGGCGGTAGGATTCATATAGAAGCGGCAATTCGTTCGCCCTTGTAGTGGTTCAACCTGCTTCCACACCTGCTTGATGAAGCCGTTCTGCGTCGTCAAATTCTCCTGCACAATGGCCTTGATCTTGAATACAGCAGTCTTAAGCACAAGGAACAAGGGGTACTTCACTCTTGAGGAATCAGTCAACACCAGAGCGGTTGCCCGCTCCTTGCTCTTACCGCCGCACTTGACCCAAATGGTACATTCCGAACGTGTGTTGATCATGTTCGTCGGTACGTGCTCATAGTTGACGCCGATCTGGTCAGCATTGTAGATGATGTTGATCGAGTTCTCGAGCATGCACGCTCGCACCAGACCAGCAAAGTCTGCAAGCGCCGCCTCGCCGTCAGCTTGAGTGTCCTGGTCTGCACGAGTACAGCTCCGCAAGGACAGATTGAATCGTTTTTTAATCCTTTCATCCAGTGCCAGTTTGCATGGAACTCATCTTAACTTAGGCCAACGTCAATGGCAATCTTAGCACCATTATTTTGCAGCATCTGCGGCGTCACAGGCACCCCATCGGCCCCATTGTGCAATATGTTCTTCGGACTCCCGAGGTAGTGTGGTGTCAGCACCATTCTCACGCTTGCACATGTGATCGGCAGTGTGTGGCCAAGAGGGCATGTGTTGGATGCGTTCGCTGTTGGACCCACGCATACACCTTCTTGCGGGTCGTCTCGCGTCTTGTGCCAACAAGGTGGCCGATGTGCATGTCAAGCGTTGCCTGCATCCCCATAGAATCAAAGCATTCTTGTTTCTTTCTGTGGGTGATTTGAGTGCACCTGAACTTCTTCGCGTGTTTCATGGGGCCATACTTGGATACCGGTCGTCCCCGAGGCATCCTTCGTGTTTCAGCGCATGGTCTCGACATCGCGCGCGTTTTTTCCTCTCAAGTACCTCTAAAAATTAAAACAGTATGGATTGTTGGGGGTGAAAATGCCGCGAAGGTGGACCTTATATGGTATCTATTATAAACTACAACTTTTCACAAAATTTTCTGACTTCTATTTCATATTCATTACTCCAAATTTCAGCAAATTGAGATGTAGAATCGATAGATCTCAATGTGGCGAAGAAATGCTACGTCTCAGATTCAAATTTGGTGATGAATTGGCCCTGAAATAGATATTTAAGCTAGCGGTATTTTACATGGGCGTTTGGATATTTGGCCATAGGGGTGGCCCCTGAGATGTATCTTGATTTTTGTATGTGACTCTTATCCGTATATAATATCCGGAGGCAGTTGGGACCTTTAACCTCCCACTTCAGTGATAAAACGCATGAAATCGATAATTAACGTTTTGGTTTTTGGGTTTAACTACGTTAAATAATAAAACCTCCACTCTTCGATTTGGCCAGTTGGAAGTTTTTAGATGACGTCCACCATAACCAAAATAACGTTACCCAATTTTTCATCGCCCGATTTGGAGGGACCTCGAAGGTCTCTTTATTTATTCTACATACAAAATCCTACATAAAAAATCTAATAGTACTTTGAAGTAAACAACGCTTGCACCGATCGATGGTCATGTGCTGCGAAACATAACGTTAACGTTACATGTGGTGTGCGGGCCATGGTTGTAACGAACGTTACACGCCATGGAAACAAGCATCCACCTGAATGGTGGTAACGTAAAAAACCAGTTTAAGATACCTTTACCAATTTAGGATAACTTTGTATTGCCCAACCACACCTCGTTATTTGTTCGAGTCAAAACCTCTGTTATATAATGCTGATCATTCCGTCACGTGAATGAAATGCAAAAACGGCGTAGAAACCATCGCTAACAGTCATTCAAGATTGGGTTTGAAGTACCCTAGTCGACACGCGCCACATTGGGTTGGATCTGAGGTTTTGTCGAGTGTTCAACTCGGTGGACATCCATCCACAATAGAAATATACTAGTAACTCTATAAAACAGTACCCTTGTATAAATTATATGCAACCTGTTGTAACCGTTTACCCTAAGCACTGAATTTCAATGCCCCCACACATACAGTCCGAGACAAAACTATAGACGCACCCCAAAATTTTGGAGTTTCTCAACCAAAAATTTCCTTTTATCCGAAACGATCTATGGCAACATCCTCGAAAATGTAATTCTAGGAACCCCACAAAAAGATTTCATTCATTTGTGTGTGGATTACGAGAAAAATTCCAAATTTCAAATTTCTGGGTGAGTCATAACTATAGACGCACTTTGTAAATTGACTTATTTATCGATGCATTGTCCACGGCGAAGAATAACTTGGGCCATTCTCGTTGGCATTCCCTCAACCAAATGAGATAGGTAGCTTTGCTCAATTTCCCGCCACGATTGCAGGATTTGAGCCTTCAATTGAGCCTTGGTGTCGAATTGACGACCATTCGCATAGACTTTCCGAGCTAGTACCCCCCAAACGTTCTCGATAGGATTCAAATCAGGGCTCTTTGCAGGCCAAGGCATGGTATCCCATGGCATTGCCTCTAACCACGCCATCGTTGAACGAGAACGATGGATACTCGCGTTATCCTGCTGGAAAATGGGTTCAGCACTTGAGGTCAACTCGCTCAACTCCCGCATCACTGGCAAGAGGTATGCCTCCAGGGTTTCTTGGTACCGCGCCGAGTCTTGTCGTCCTTCGAGGAATTCGAGTTCAGTCTTGTTGTAGAAGCTCATTCCGCCCCACACCATAACTGAGCCCCGACCCGCGACACGCTTGGAGTAGGTTTCAACATCTTCACGCAGGTCATGCCAATAATACTGACAGCCGTCGGGGCCATCAAGGTTGAATTTCTTCTCGTCAGAGAACATCGTGGTCTTCAACTCAGCAAGCTTGTTAAGATAATTGGAGGCAAATTCGACCCGGTCCTTCTTGTGCTTGGAGGTGAGGCGCGGGCCCGAGCGGCGTTTTATGTACTTTACTTTGCGAATTTGGACATTTTAAGCACACGAATTACAGTGCGTTGAGTTACTTTACCGCTTATGGCTGCTGAGATCTGCCTAGATGACATTCCTTTGCGTGTGGCGAGTCGGAAAATTCGTCGAACGTCTCGTCGCGTCAGTTTCGTGCGCCGTCCAGGTCTCTTAGGATTTGGGGATTGCTTGAGCTTCGCAACATACGTCCGGACTAGTTTATCGCTGCGTCCCAACGCATTGGCGATCCAACGGAGCGACTTGTTAACCTCCAAATATGCCTGTATTTGGCCTTTTTCGTGGTCGGTGATCGTTTTTCCTCGAGGCATCGTCCGATTCTTGGTTATGTGTGTGGTGAAGTCATCGGTGTGTCCCACAAGTGTTCGTAAGCATTTTGATTACTTTAAAGATCTCTGATTGGCTTAAAAAGAATCCGTAAATGTCGAATCATATAGTGCGTCTATAGTTATGACTCACCCAAAAATTTGAAATTTAGATATTTCTTGTGATCGACACACAAATGAAAGAAATCCTTTTGTGGAGTTCCTAGAATTACATTTTCAAGGATGTTGGCATTGATCATTTCGGATAAAAGGATATTTTTGGATGAGAAACTCCAAAATTTTGGGGTGCGTCTATAGTTTTGTCTCGGACCGTACATACTTTAAAAGAGTTATCAAAATGTGAGTACAAATGCTTGGAAAGAACAAATTTACCTGTGAAGTTCATCGCCTACACTGATAATTCGATTATGAAGTCAACGCGGCGCGTCTTGTCTATTGGAATCACTATTCAAAACTCAAATATCGTAATGGACTCAAAAGTTATGTCCATTCTACTCCGACGCCTCCAAAAAAGTTACCTTAAATTGGTTTTTTACGTTACTGCTGTCGTTGAAGTATCTTCTTGGCGCGGCCATCGAACACTTCAACCGCTGAGGTGTTCGATGGTGGAATCGCTTTCGTTGTCTACTACATGTACCTTGTGATCGTGTGATACATAACTGGACAATGTCGCTATTACGATTACCAGTCTGCAGCTGTGCCGGCGACATTGCCCAGTTATGCCAAAGGTGGATGCTGGCGGCATCACCTCCGTACGCTTGCTTATCTTGATTGCAAAGTACTACAGAGGCGATGCCGCCAGGTTCCACAGACCCGACGGCGCGACAACTGATCACTTCCAAGCGCAGCGGGCACGTACCAAGTGATGACAAAGCCGTCGTAGGGCCTTTCACGTCAACACGAACTGGGAATGACACGTGGGCATTCAAATTTGCCCAACAAAATTACCAGTTTTGCGATGGAGATAAAGTCCAAAAACAATGGGTAAACGTATCCGGAAGAAGTTTTTCCCCGAAATAACCCCTGAAAATACCCGGTCGCGGTGGAGATGCTGTTAGATGTGCTTCTACTATAACTCTTCATGCTCCTAAGCTCGCGCTACTTCATGCTCCCTACGACACCTGATTTCGTCACTTGCCTCGGTTGGCAATTGGGTGTTTGTATTAGTATTTGTATGCCATGGAATAGACTGCGATGATTGGGTATTTTCATCGTTCTTCAAGTTGCTTTTGGTTTTCGTGACGAAAAGCAGAAAGTAAAAAGTAGAATTGAAAAAATGAAAATTATTTTTTTTCCTAAATTGACTCCCCCTATTGACTCTCTCCTAGGCATCTCGTTCGTTATTAAAATCCCGTTGAATACTAACGTTAGTATAACTTTGCTTTTCAAAAGTGATCGAAAAGCAAAAGCTGATCGGTCATTCCTATTATATTATTGGCTCTCCGTATTCTGCGTTGATATTATTGTAATACCCTGAGTTCAGCTTAACAGTCGAACACATTGCGTCATGGCCTGGACAGGAGAGCTTATTCGTTTGGCCGGTTGTGGCGGTACCAAGTTAATTAGCCTCAACCATGCTCGCTGACAAGTTGGACACGAAGCGTGTCGTGGAAATGGCTAGATGAGTAGGTTGGTACGCTTTCACGAGGATGACGCTGATGAAGGTCTAGGTTTCAATACATGAAGGAGAAGGCGAGTCTTTGTGCGAAGTGATGACGAGAGCACGAATGCATGAGATATGAATGGAAAAGCCAGGTACGAGGCATGTTGTGCTGCTGCTAGTGGTAGTCGCGCAGCACAAGTCAAGCGGTACAGTACACCAACTCAAATGATAAAATGAACTTTGCAATAACTGCTAAAACTCAATTTCGGAAGGGCCACTTGCTTGGGACATAGGGTAATCCGTGCCTCGCAACGCTAAGTGAGAAAACATTTGCTGGCTACGGTCCAAGTAGTCGTAGTGCATCAAATGATCGCGACCACCACCCACGTGGAACGACGATCCTACGTCGGTAGTAGCAACAGGAACTGACAAGCTTTCTCCAGAGATCATGCTCAATCTTCGCAAGTGCTCCAAGGATCGCGCGGCATGGATGTGGTGGGAGATCCTGTCGGTATTCGTCCATCTTGCTCTCTCGGGCAACGACGAGTCAATAGACCACCTGACCTGTTCCGTCGCTACAGTTCCTTGGCGCACCCACAGGTCCTTTGCATCTGGCAGAGATCCCGATCGACGCCACCAACACCGCGGAAGAGAGCTTTGGCTGCTGTTGCTGCTTGACGACATGGCAAAGCGTAGAATGGCGAGAAAAGTCAAGTGGAAACAAACCAATCAGATTGCACCTCACCTGTCCATACCACCCACACCTTGAAGCTTGTATCGCAGATTTTGATCATTTTTTTCCCAATTGTCCACCTGCCAGCCAATCACACTTCGTCAATCAAATCTTATCCACCAATAGGCATGCATTATTTATGCATTGTTTGATAAATTCTTCCAAAATACCAAAATTGTGCCTGAAATCCGCTAGTGGTCCGCCAATCAAATCGCTTCAATATGCATTATCCATCAATAGGCATTCAGTTGGTACTCAAAACAACTGTAACTCAAAACAACTGTAAAATCAATATGACACCGCCGGTTACAATAATGTGAAACCACCGTAACGGTTTGGACCGTCGCATACACTACTCACAGCGCCATGCCGGCTATCCAGCCGGTGCCAACGTTTGCGACGGTGGGTCCGATGTCGCCCAGCGCGACCATGACGCGAGTGCAACCCGTCAAGCCGAGGCGTCCCATCCCCAAGGTGACTACTACTACTTGTACTGTACATATGCGCCTAACAGTTTGAATAGTTTCAAACGTCAATGAGTTTGTCCGCCCAGTTCCTAAATCGCATCACTCGGTCGCCGTCCAAATCCCCCTTCATCAGCACTACTGCGTCCATCCGACACCATGCGTGGTTCCGCGCGATCCATCCTCACAGCGCCATGATGAAGAACTGGGATGTTCTGTCCATCGCGCTCATCGTGTTCACAGGTTCCTTGTCGTCGCCATCTCATCGGTTGTTTTGATACCTCCATCTTCTGTGCAGCGGTGGTCACTCCGTTCGAAACCGCCTTTGCCGTGGCGACAGTCGACTCGTTTTTATTTGTTTTGAATCGCATAGGTACTAACTAGACCATCCTAAACCATCCCCGCTGTAGTTGTCGCCTTGACATGGGGATGTTGTTGCTAAATGTAGTGGACATTTGCTTCTTCGCCGATGCCATTCTACACTTCTTCGTCATGGTAAATACACTTCATCTAGTCGACGATACCAGTCCAACGTCGCCCATAAAACTACCGTTATGGTAGTACTACGACGAAGCCAACAGCGTATGGGTATCCGACCGGCGCAAAATCACATGGAAGTACCTCACGGGATGGTCTGTCGCCAACCTCATATCTCTCCAAGAGGCTCATTTTCCCCGTAGGTTTCTCCTCGATTTGATCTCGATGCTTCCGTTCGACGTGGTCGGTCTAGCCGTGGACAACAACACCGTCAAGCAGCTTCGGTTTACTCGTGTGCTTCGGCTGTTGCGACTCATGAAAATCCTCAAAGTCCTGCGCGGTGCGTAGCCCCGTACGTCGAACTCTGTCACATGTACCTTGTCGCAGGCGCCAACAACTTTCGCATTTGGGAGTCGAAAATGAGCATCAACTACGCTACGATTGCGCTCGTCAAGTTTTGTCTGCTCGTGTTCATGTCGTCGCACTGGATGGCGTGCATCTTTCGCATGGTTGTGGACATTGAAGAGTTTGTCGACCCCCTCGGGTTCAAGTTCAACTGGATGACCGAACACACCATGGGCAGCATCCCCATCTCCAAGAGCTCGCTGGGCATTCAGTACATGAGCGCGCTGTACTGGTCCGTCATGACCCTCACGACCATCGGGTACGGCGACCTCGTGCCCACCACCCCCGGTGAGCGCAGCCTCGCCATCACGTGCATGCTCATCGGCGGCGGCACGTACGCGTACGTCGTGGGGTCGGTGTGCCAGATCCTCAACTCGATGGACGCATCCACGACAGAGTTTCACCAAACGATCGACACTCTGAACGAGTACTGCCACCACAACCAACTCCCGAGCGAATTGTCGGCACGGCTACGCGAGTACTTTCACTCGAGCCGGACGCTGCTGCGAGAGAGGCAGCATCACAACCTCCTCCTAACCATGTCCCCCGGCCTACGGGGTGAAGTCGCCTTGTACAACAACCAGTGGATCGCAAAGATTGAATTTTTCAACTGCAGCAATGATTTCGAGCGCAACCAGTTCATTACGGCGGTATGAATATATATATATATATTGTATAGTGAAACGGCATTATTGCTATTTATATTATATATAATGAATACTCGTATATTGTATATTTTAAATATTTATAGTAATACGACAGTATTATATATATTGTATATATATTATATACTGACACAAGATCGTAGGTGGCGCTGCTTCTACGGCACGAATGCTTTCCCCCAAACGAATATGTCATTCGAGAAGGGGAATTCAACACGAAAATGTACCATTCATACGTCAATGTTAATGACTCATGTCCTTGGGCACAGGTACCTCGTCCAGCGCGGATTGGCCACCAAAGGCAAAGTCATGTATACGGGGGGCACATTTTTTGGCGAAGTATTATATATATAATTGTCATACTATATATATAGGGCAAGATCCATCTATTAATAACATGGTCGTAGGATATTATATTAACACTGCGCCAGCGCAAGATTGCCGTGCGGGCGTTTTCATATTTGCACGTGCAAGCACTGTCCAAGTTTGAGCTCGAGGAGCTAATATATTCGGGTTTATACCCCGAAATCCAGCGCAACATTCGGCGCCAAGTGCTCAAGACGGCCTTTAAGAACAACTTTGTCAAGCTCAGCCAAGACACGATCCGGCGGCGGAACTCCAACCACCGGATGCGGAATTCCGTGTCGTCTAACATGCCTCCCATGATGGTACACATAATAAACTCTTTCGTGGAGCCAACTAATATGAACACGAAGAGCCCCATGCTGCGCTCGACCCTCGGACTCAACGTACCAATCGGGTTCTACCATGATTTTCTGCCGAAACAATCGCCCCCGCCGGCGAAATTGGAGAAAGACAACGACACTGGTACGTGTGATATGAATACTTGGTTGTGTCTAATATGAATGCTTCTATCTTTATGCGCAGTGGACAACATCGTCGAGGGCGTGTCCAACCTCATGGACGCCAACATCGCAAAGTTCGACGAAGGACTGACGAAGAAGATCGACCAAGTGCTCGCGCAGCTGGAACGACTCGAGAAGTACGTGGCCCCAAACGTGATCTTCTCGCCCGCCCCCGCCAAGACCAGCACCCCCCCATCGACGAGTCCGTTAGAACGCCAGAACAGCACCGCCTACTTGGAAGCCGTCCAGCAGCTAGAGCGCGGGGAGATCCGCAGTTTAGTGCGCGCCAACAGCAACCGCCGCCGGTCGTCGCTGCCGAGCCAGATATATTAACTTATTTCAGTAAAATGATACAAGTGCAAATCTTTGAAAGCTATTAGGTCTTACTATTAACGTTATACGAACAACATTTGCCTGGACACACTTGGGTGAACAATAGAAAAAAGTGAAAATCAGCAGTAATTTTCCACACCGATAGCGTAACATGTTAATGTGGTGATACGTAGGGTTGTGCATTCATTGATTGGTGCAAGGGTTTCTACTTGGTAAACACTTGAACTGTGTGCACGTCGAACCGGCCTTGGTATTGCTCTTGCAGCACAAGGCGAAACGGGTTCCAAAACGGATACCCCGTCGCCGGGTTGTGACCAGCCGCGCACGCACCGACGGGTGCCACGCCCCAGTACAAGTTGGCGTTGTTGTAGATCTTGTCGGCGGCGATGCCTCCGTCCGCCGACACGTCGACCGTGTCGTCGGCGCCTCCGCGGGTAATCTTGGGGTTCCGAATCTGTTGGATGTACTGCCCGCCCGCGTCCGCCCCGAACACGACCGCCATGGCGATTTTCACGTTCATTTCGACCTTCCACTGCGCCGCCTGGGCCCCGACGTTGGGCTGGCGGACGTAGTACGGCGCGAAGCAGCCGCCGGACGCCATGTGCATGGTGGATTGGCCGAACGCGGTGAGTCCGCCGCCCCAGAACGCGTCCGTCGTGCCAGTGTGCCCGATGGCGGCGTCCCCGTTGAACATTTCAAAGATGTCGTATTCGCCACAGTTGGGCCACCGCGGGTCGCCGAATTGGCTTGTCAGTGCTGTGGGCAGCATCCAGATGTTGGCGTCTGACCCGGCGTACACTGTCCACTCGAGGTAGATGACCTTTTCCCCAGCCCAGCCTTGCTTGGTGCGCAGGACGGGCGACTGTTGGAAGGGCAGCCCAAAAGTAGACACTTCGATGGCGCTGGGCTTGAAGCCACCTTTGGCAAACGCGGCCGAAACGTCGTTGTCCCCTTGCCATTCGTTGATGTTGAGCCAGTCAAAGTGTGTGTCTCTGTAGGGCAATCTTGGGCGAGTAGTGGTCGGGGCTGGAGTGGGAGCGGGAGAAGAAATGGCGGGCGGAAGGACATAGCCGAGGGCAGACGGGGGGGTCGATGTCGTGTTAGACGTGGCGTTGTGGGGAAGCGCGCCGGGCTGTTGTGGATCTGGCGTCGGGTGGGCCGCGGGTGTCGCTGCGTTGCTTACAATACCCTGGCTCTACGTTTGAACGATTCGATTCGTGAATGCGCAGTTCAAATTTGAACCAGTGAAGGAAAATAAATACTAACCGAGATGGGGTCTGACGACGACGAGGCTGCGTCGCCATTGGAACTGGTAGTCCCCCCAGTCAACCCCACGGCACATCCGACAACGACTGCAACCAACACGATGCAGCCGCCCGTGAACATTCGCAATTGTTTGCGACGGGATGTGCCCCCATCGGCCTTGTTATCAGCCTGCACGTGGCGTCCAGGGGTGTGGGCGGCGGTCGGCAGGTCCCGAGAGCTGGACGTGACGTTGAAGGCGGACACGACAGGCGTCCCCATGGCTTAATCTTTTCTGCACCATAAGGGCACGAAAGCTCCATGTTGCAACTTCAACGTCGATCGATATAAATAGCCAACGCGCACACGCGACATCTCGGCATCAGATTTGGTGAAATTCCCAAAATTACCTTCGAATTTGGGTAAATTCGGCAAAAGAATTAGCAAAATAGGTCAGTTTTCTGGTTGACCTGCGATCAACACCATGGGGCACCACGGAGCACTGCTGAGCGACGAAGAGGAAGGAGAGATCGTCGAGGATGAACTGACGAAGCTGGAGATCAAAGCAGCCGCTATACTTTCAAAGCCACTTCATGAGATGCCGCCGTTGCCCACCCATTCATCTAAACTACCGGTCGTCCTCCCCAGTCCTCACGACGAGAAGGCGAGTCGTCCAGCACCTCCTCAGTCCGACGTGTCCTCGTCAGGGGGCGATGCCAAGCGCCGCCGTGTGGACAGCACCAAAACATCGACAAACGGTGGAGACAAGAAGGTGCATGACACGTACACGATCGCCGAGCGCAAAGTGGAGTTGTCCATCTTGCTCCGCGAACCTTTCCAAGTCCGGTCCAGTCGCGTGCTGCTCAATTTCAACCACTGGTTCGACTCCGTGCTCAAGTACGCATGGGTGCCTCGCATCAGTGCGGACGACCTGCAATCGATCCTTCTGCACTTTGTCGACCCGTCCCTGCACCCTTCGTCGCGCTACCTCGAAGACTGGGACGACGAGTATCGTCCGGCGAAGCTGTGCTTTGTCCTCGCGAAAGGGTTTCATCCCGACGTGCTGGCCAAGGCCGTGACCGCGAAAGCGTCACCGTTGTCGTTCTTCACATCCTGCAGCTCCATGCCGCTGTCCCTATCCACGACTGCGGCCATGGAGCGCAATGCCAAGCTCAAAGAAACACCGCTGCCCTGCCTTCTCGCGCGGTTCCCGTCCCCTCCCATCAACCTCGAGTAATTCCTTTGGATATCCCCATCCTATTCGCATATCATTTTCATTGAGTTGTAGCATGGCAACCCCCGAGACTCTGTTCACGTCCAACGTCGAGCTCACCATGCTAGGCATCTACACGTCCGACACCCCACCGCCATCTGCCGCCGCGCCGCCGCTCAAAGGCGGATGGACGGACGAGCTCGTGTTTCAGCCGTCGGGGGTGTTCTTTCGCAAGACCACCAACCAGACCGGCGACTGGCGCATCGACGGCGACCTCCTCCATCTTCGGTGGCGGGTGGTGGCACAGCACACGAATGACGACTCGAACGTCACGTCCGTCGACGTGCTGCAGGCCGATGACGACTCGCTCCGGAGGTTCCGCACCAGCGACCACCTCGACGCCACGTACGCCGCCGCCGCCGCGAAACCGAAGCGTTTGCTTCGGCTCACACTGCTTCGCGCGGCCGCGGTCGGGTCGTCCTCTACCCACCCCCCTCCCGCCGGCACCACCTCTGCTTCCGACCCATCAGCGGCGACGACCCCCCTCGATTACTACACCTTGTCCCAGTCCGACCGCGCGGCGCATCAGTACCCCATGGACGTGGCCGCCGAGCAAGCCGCGCTAGATAAAGCCACCCAGGGCCAGTCCACTGACGTGTACGTCACAACGTCGGGGCTGCCGTCGTTACCTGAACCGGTCGTCCTCGCCATCGACTGCGAAATGTGCGAGACTGTGCTCGGGTCCGAGCTCACGCGCGTGACCCTAGTCGACGCAGCGGGGGCGGTAGTGTACGACCAACTGGTGAAACCTCGTCACACAATCGTCAACTACCACACAGCGTTCAGCGGGATCACGGCTGAGACGCTGGACGCGGTGGATGTGACACTGCGCGACGTACAGCAGACGCTGCTGACGTCGTTTCTGCATGCCAACACGGTGCTCGTGGGCCACTCGGTCGACTCGGACCTGCGCGCACTGCGCCTCGTCCATCCGCATCTCGCCGACACGGCGCTTCTGTACCCGCATCCCCGCGGGTTTCCGTTCAAGCCGTCGTTGAAGATGCTCGCGGCGACGTTTCTCCACCAGTCGATTCAATCGGCCGACATGGCGGGCCACGATTCGGTGCAAGACGCTGTCGCAGCTCTCCGTTTGTTTCAGCTCAAAGTACGCCACGGACCGACCTTTGGGCTGCCGCCATCGCCGCCGGAATCTGTCGCGTACATGTCGTTACTGGACAAGTGTGCGGCGCGTCGACTGGGCGTGTACAGTGTCGCAGAATCGTCCAACGATGACGCTCATGCGACACATCCTCCGTGGAACTTGTTTGCCAGCGGCGAGTGGGCCGACCAATTGGCCAGCACCCATCTTCATATCCACTCCACCACGTCGGAAACCAAGTGCTTTGTGGCGCCGACGGTGACCTCGTTGGCTGCCGCGGCCGATCAGATCCGGACGCACGGCGCCGCCCAAGATGTGCTGTGGGTCGAAGTCGATGCGACCAGAACAGACCCCGCCGTGTACGTGGCGACGCCGCACCAGTGGAAACAGCGCCAGACCAATCAGGTTCAAGCGTTGAACGACAATCTCAATGTCCTCCACGACGCGCTCCCGCCCAACACACTCCAAGTGGTTGTGCCTCAGGTAGATATATATATATATCGGTTACTGTGTGGTGTTTGTCGTATATATTTATATATATATATATTGTGAATTGCGCTTTAAACTTGCAAAATTCGCGTGGTTTGTGTAATCAATATTGAATCACGCGTGAGTTCTGATTGGTTGAATATACTTGTCTTTTCTGCCAATCCACTCAAAAATGGATTAGCCAATAGCGTCGATTCGTGATTCGATTCGGCGGTGAGATTCGACGGGGTATGGAAATTCGTATCGAATCCACAATATATATATATATATGTATATATATGTATATATATAGTGCTTTGAACCAACATTTAGAGTGTTGTGTGGATTCCACCGAACCCATCGAGCGAGGTTTGGAGACTGAATTTGTATCATTTTTTACGAAGCCATGCACACTATTTAAAAGTCACACACTACTTTGATTGGCTACATGATTCGTGTTCTGGCTTTGGATTGGTCAATCGATTGTCTGCCGATTTGGTTCAATGATTTCGAATCAACTTGACACTATGAATAGTATATCGTTTGAAGGGATTGACGATGGGATGTAGGCGGCGCTGGGGCTGTTCAGACACTTGCGGGGCGCGCGCCTCAAGGCCAAATGGGGCGACGGGTGGGACAGCCAATGGACGGACCGCGACCTGGCGAACCTCCGGTACGCGCTTAGCGGCGCCCTGGACAGCGTCGTGTTTCTCAAGCACAAACCATAGTACTACTAGATATACTACTAGTACACCTCAAAGAAAAAAGCTCGGAGCGCATTGTGGAGTCGGTAACGTTATACAAATAGTTCCACATGATCCATCAATCCAATCTCACCGTAAATCGAATCACGAATCGACGCTATTGGGTAATTATATCGGGCACACGACCAAATATATCGGGCACACGGCCAAATATATCGGGCATTCGTCCAACTTAACTGCAAAAAGGTGTAGTAACAGTCACCATACAATAATACCATGGTACATGCATTCATAACGGTAGCAGTAGTGTAGTATATTAATAATACATGGTTAGTCCGAGTCTTCGTCGACGGTCCGGCGCCGTTTCGACGACGACGACGTGTGCGTGATCATCTCGTCTTCGCTGTCGTCGTCGTCGTCGCTGTCGTCGTCCACTTCAACGGCGCGATGGCGCTGCGCCTGCTTTTGCTGCCGGTATTCATCCAGTCCACCGGGCGCGGCGGTCGGCGCGCGGCGGCCCCCCGACGTCGCCTTGCTCTTGGCCTTGTACTGTTGCTTGATGGCCGAGAGGTTGTCGTCGTCGTCGTCCATGCCGTCATAACCCTGCAAATAGGACTTCATCAGACATCGAATCGTGTCCTGATATCGAACTACCTCTTCGAGAAAGGTCGAGTCGAGTCGGCTGGACCGGTCGCGGTCGTACTCGTACCCCTGGCGCTGTTTCTTGCGGTTTTCGAGCTTCATTTGCTCCTGCTTGACCGCCGCGCGCTGCTCCTTGTCGAGCGTGCCGTCGATCTCGGACACGTACTCTTGAATGCGCACCACGGCCTTGTTGTGCCGCGCTCGCATGGACATTTTGAGGCTTTGGTGGGATGTCGATGCCGTCGAGATGGGGCGGATCGTCATCTTGGACTTGACGCGGCCATGACACTCGAGTACCGTTTCATCGGTCGATTGCTACATGGAGAGTTACTTGGATGTGTTTATGATGGAATATGAACGTACTTCGTTAACAAACACAAACGAATTCGCGACTTTTTGCTGGGTCAGCGTGAGCACTTCGTCGCCTACGCACATGGTGTAGCTCCCGTCTTCCCACTTGACGATGCGCGCGTTGGTTTCGCGCATGGGCAGTCCCGTTTTCGGGTCCACCTAATGGAGAGAGTTCACAGGATGCATGAACGTGGAAGAGGACGGACCATGATGCGACCGCCAGCGTCCAACTTGTACCGCCAGCGAACGAAATTGCGGTAAATGCCTTCGTCGCCGGTCTCTTCCTTCTCTTTCTTGATGCTTTCGGTCGTGAACGCGTCCGGAACAAATCGAAGGACGTTCGGGGGACGGGTGAAGAAGAGATTCGTCTTCTTCGGGGCCTTGGGGCCTTTCGGGATGCGTAGTTCATCGTGGTGGGCATCGTCGACTTCCCGCGCGCTGCTGCTGCCATACGGCTTTGTTGCAGTAGTCGTGGGAATGGGGCTGTCGCGGTCGGCGTCGCGGACAGGGTCCTCCTTGATTCCCCTACACCATCCATCATGAACAAGTGTGATGGAAAGTGGGAGACACCGTACGAAGCTTTGAATTCCTCTTCAGACTCGTAGTCAGACCCAAACAATTCGGTCATTTCCTCGCCGTTGTCAGATCCGGCATCGTCAGCTGTAGGGGTCTTGGAGTCCTCTTTGGCAGGTGGCTTCGTCTCCACATCCGAGATCTCTTCGTCATCATCACTAAACAGCCCGGCGTTGTTCTTCTCTGCGGGCTTGCTCGTGGGCAGCGCCACCTCTTCCTCGCTGGACGACATCACGCACCTCACACAAACTGGAGATTCCGGTAGAATATCCGGAAACGTTTTATTGCTACCTATAAAACGCAAGTGCTAAATCCAGTGTTAACAGTTTGCAAAGTTGGTTTTATTGATTTAACGCAGATATTAGATTATAAACCACCGTGTCGTGTCGGGTCTCCTTCATAGCCAAACAAACCAAGCTGCTTGCACGTGAGTAGGAACCGGCGCGTGTGTGGGGGGACGCGACCGAAGTGATGGTTGCGCGCCCGCCACGCTGTGCCAAAGCGATCCCCATCGACCAGTCGTCATTGTCGCTCTCCGGAAGTTGTGTCTTAAAATGTACTAGCGTCGCGGGATGGCAACATCACGTGGACACCGAGGTCACGGGACCTATGATTTTTTGGTCAAAAGCATGGAAGGTATGCTGGCGTGGGGGCGAGAGAACTAAACCCTACTTGTCCAAGGCTGACTCGTGGAATTCAACTCTCAAACATCTTCGTGTTTCGTGCTTAACGTCACCACCGGTAGTTGCATGTGCATGTATGCGTAGCTTCAGCCTTTTCGCTGCGTCCATTGCAGCTTGTATGTAGCTTAGCCTTTGCTGCGTCCATGGCGCTAGTAGGGAAACCAATCCATCACCATGCGCACGACCTACCGTCACTTGCGCATGAAGGCGTGCGTGCATCCACATCATCGAGCGGGACACCTGGTTCCGCCATCGGTTTGTTGCTCACGGCGTCCCCAGTTGTATGATCCATTCATAATAATATGTGGAATTCAAATCGACACTACAAACATCAAGATATTATTATTTATTGGATCGTGCTACAGTCGACGAACATACACTTGCAGTTTGTATCGGATGCAGAAACCTTGGACATTTAATATCAATTGCGAGAGACTGACTTCTGCAAAGACCAGAAAAGAAACTTGAACTGGCTCGTCATTCATTTTCGCAACACAACACTCGACACGAGATGGAGTCGCGGGAGTACAAGCTTGTTGTGCTGGGCAGCGGCGGTGTCGGCAAGTCCGCGCTGGTGATCCGCTTGGTCACAGACAACTTCCTGGAAGACTACGATCCGACGATCGGTATGTCACCACACATGTGCACGCACGACCAAATGATACGAGCTTCACGTGATTGCCATTAGAGGACAGCTACCGCAAGCAAGTCGAGATCGACCAGCGACAGGCGTTGTTGGATATTCTGGACACCGCCGGTCAAGAAGAGTACACGACGATGCAGGACGAGTGGATGCGCGAAGGCAAGGGTTTCCTCTTGGTGTACAGCGTCACGAGTCAAACCACGTTTGACGAAATCAAAACCGTCAAAGACAAGATCCTTCGCGCCAAGGACATCAACCGCGTGCCGTTGGTGTTGGTCGGCAACAAGTGCGACTTGGACCGCAACCGGCAAGTGAGCTTGGCGGCGGGGAAGGCCCTGGCCGCGGAATGGGGCTGTCCGTTCATGGAAACCAGTGCCAAGGAGCGCATCCGCAACGAAGAATGTTTCTTCGAAGTCGTGCGCGAAATCCGAAAACAGGACGCGGCCAAGCGACCGGCGCCCAAATCGAACGGCACGAAGAAGAAGGTCGAAAAGAAGGGCGGGTTCTGCTCCATCCTCTAGGTCCAACATATCTCAGCTACCGCCGCCGCTCGCCTCGTCAGTGTGTGCCACCCCCCATCCATCCCTTCTTAGACATATCCCGATAACCGTTTCTTGCATTCTTGTTCCATCAATCAATCGATTCGACCTTTTACACGGCAATCCCATACAGATACCGTATCCGATACTGCAAGAGGTCGCGCGGACACTGGTCCATGTACTGCGCGAGCCACCCAACGAGTTCCGACTCGGACGCGCCAAAGTCGTCTAAGTACACGCGGAGGACCTTGGGCAGCCGCAGCGTCTTGGTCGCAACCTCGACCACCACTTGCTTCATGCAAAACACCCGCATATACTTTTCCAAGTCGGTGTCCGTCTGCCGCGGCTGGAGGATCGGCGCATCCTCGGGCTTGGTGAATGGCGGCGTCTGTTCCAGCAGCATCAGCAGGCTGCGCGGGTCCCGTGTGTGAAAGCAGTAGGCTAGTCGCGGGTCTTGGGCTTCAAACTGGCGGCCCCAGAACGCCGACGGCGGCTTGCGGTTGCAGCGCAAAATGCCGTGGCGGATATCGCTTAAGCTAAAGTCCATCCCGTCTACAATGTCTTACTAGTTAGTCGAGGTAGTAACGGGAAGTAGGTAGTACCGAGACGGTACACCACGTCGCGCTCGAACGCCTTGTACTGGTCCGATGTTTGCGGCAGCCCGACCTCGATGAGCCCGTGGATGACCATGGTATTGTACACGTTGATAAAGAACACTTGTCGATCTTTCGACGTCAACTTGGAGATGCCCACGTTGTGGAAGGCGCTGACAGCTTGGAGGAACTCGCGGTACTGGCGGCAGCTGGCGTCCACGGCGGGTTTCGTGAGGCTCCAGTGCAAATGGATACCCGCTGGGAACAGCTTGGTGTTGCTGTGCAACGTAGCCGCCATCGCACGAACTTGTAGGCAAAGCTCGAGCGGCTGGTCCTTACTACTGGTCCCTACACCAGTTTGCTTGCTGTTTGGTGGCGTCAGGTACCGCGTGTTGAGGGGCGCGTGATCTTTCGAGTCGATTTGGAAGCGAAACAGATTGTCTACGCTGCCGAGGGGACTGTTGCCATAGACCAAATGCAGTGCCCGCGACTGGAGAAGGTCATGGATGGCGTGGTAAGCGTTGTCCAGCAATGTTTCTTCGTCGTGGAGGCGGTCGTGGGGGTGGTGTTGCATGGCATAGTTGGTCCGGAACGCGTCCACAAGGTCCTGCCCCGTGACTACCATGGCCATGGACGAGTAAAACGAGGTTTTGACTTCGCGGGGAGTCACCAAGCACCGCAGCCGGTCGCTTAATGACAACGTGTCGGCTTCGGTCGGAGGAGATGGATGCGAGTCGAAGGATCGCGCGAGCAGGTCGAACGGAGTGGGTTTGTGGAGGCCGAGCCCGACCACTTGCGATGAGATGGCCATGTCCCGCAGGCTGTCCTCCAAGTGGGCACGCGACGCTTCCATGTCGTAAGCGGACGATGATGGCGGCGGCGGCGGAATTGGCGTCACATGCTGCTTTGTGTGGTGGTTATCCTCGGGCACTGCTGGTGCCTGGTTCATCTTGGCCTCGGTCTGCAATGCCAGCTCAAACTCGGCGGCGTGGTCAGATAGAAACACTTGTATCGGTGCCTGGACAAACGGAAACCGGCAAATGTCTTCGATGGACGGCCGCTTGCTCGGGTCTTGCTGCAGCATGAGCTGTACGAGGAGCCGCAGTTCCTTGGAGAAGGCGGCGTGCGCGGGGACGGGCTCGTACTCGCCGTGGCAGATCTTTGTGAACATCTCGGGGAGGCTCTGCGCCTCGAACGGCCGCTTGAGCATGGTCATCTCGTACAGCACACACCCAAGCGACCAAATGTCCGACTTCTTGCCGTACCGCTCGCCGCGGCAGATCTCGGGGGACATGCTCTCGGGCGTGCCAACAGACGTCATGGCCAGGTCGTCGCCGCTCAGTGCCTTGGAAATGCCAAAGTCGCCCAGCTTGACCACGTACTTTTTGGTTAAAAACACATTCTGCGCCTTCAAGTCGCGATGGAGCACGTTCTTGCCGTGGATGTACGACACGGCGAGCACGAGCTGCGCAAACCAAGACATGATGAGCGGCTCGGGAAAGTACGCGCCGTCCTTGCGCGCGCGGAGCTTGACCACTTGCCGCAGGTTACCTCCGTCGCTGAACTCCATCACGATGTTGAGCTCGTCGTTGTCGACGATGAAGCTGTCGTAGAACCGCACAATGTTGACGTGGTACAGCGACTTGAGCAGGATCACTTCGTTGTCCGCTTGCTTCCGCCCGTTCTCGCTCGTCGCAGCGAGGCGCACGCGCTTCACCGCAACCACGGCGCCGTCCCCCCGCCGGCGCGCCAACACCACCGTCCCATGCGTGCCCTTGCCGATGGTTCGAAGCACCTCCAAGTCACGCCAAATGTGTGTGGAAGCGCTGTTTGTGTTGGTGCTGACACCGTCCGCGTTGTTGCTCTTGCGTGACAGCCACACGTGTCGAACCAGAGTCTTGGCGGTGTTGTACTGGATCGGTTTGATCAGGTAGTCCTTGGCGCCTTTCGACAAGCACGACGTGACTACGTCCATCTCTTCGTTGGACGACGCCATCACGATCGGAATATGGGACAACGACACCTCCTTTTGCACACACTCGAGCAACTGAATGCCCGTGAGGACAGGCAGCATTACGTCGCACAGAACCAAGTCGTATCGGTTCGGTTCTTGTGTGAGCTTCGTGAGGGCGTCGCCCCCGTTATCCACGGCCGTGATAACGTACCCGATGCTTCGAAGGATGTCGATCGTTGCCACGCGTGTGAACTCGTCGTCTTCTACGACCAGCACATGCACGTCGGAAGGGTTCATGATGGTTGAGTGCCAGTCGGCTGGCGGCGAGGAATGTCGGCAGATAAAATTAAAATAAATGTATCTCGGCCTTTCCCTGGACGAATTTTATACTGTACTTTTGTATGGCCTTTGTCGCCAGCGAGGGAAATGTCGTTGTTTGATTGGCTATAATTAAAAAACCTCCATACCGCAAAAACCTCGGCGCTTTTGGCTCATACACTATTGCGCGGCCTGTCCATTCTCACGCGTCCAGTATTTTATTTCCCCCCGACTTAACAATGACGCCAGCATGTATGTATCCGTCCCATCAGTGTCTCATCCCTTCGTCATGGCGGTCGTGCAGAACTCGATCCAAATCACGGCTTGCCTACTAGTATGGACGCTTGTATAACGAGCCTTTTGTGAACAATCAGTTAACGTTACAGTATTGTATGCAGATTGCTGCTTGACAAGGAGTTATGCCATGTCGTCAGTTCAACAATCCCGCGACGACGAATCAACGTGAACACTTACGTAGGCATCCAATCCGTTCGTGTGAAAGAACAACTTGCAGAGACTTGAAAGAGGACGCTCAATCAGTTGCTCATCTCGACGCCGTGTGCCAGTTGCGCATACTATGCATGCACTTGGAGTGATGCATGCCAGCCAGCTCACGTTCCGTCACTTCTTTAATCTGGATGGAAGGAACCCTTTGGGAGAATCTGATCTCCGTCTTGAAATCCCATTGGCTGCTACCTCGAATAAAAAGTGTTTATTTTGACCAATCAATGCAATACTTTGGAGTAATATAAAATGATTTGACGTTTCTATGCAAATTCTCGTCTTCGAAAAATACTCGAAATTATGATGATGGCATGGAATTCCTCGATGTTTCGAACTTTGCATTTCAGCACGCAACAAACATGCAACTTGGAGGTGGCATGCCAGCTGTGAATGCGCCGCCACCGCTGCCAGCACAGCCGCTTCCGTCCAGGACGCTGCTTCTCTGTGTGTGCATGCATGCGTGTGCATTTCTTGCTGTCCAGGCATTCTTGGCTTATGTGTCTCCAACTGGTGCCCTCGTCATGGCGCTTATGTGTACGTTAAAGTTCCGCCTACTTCGAGCAACTAATGTGCATCCACGCGTAGGTATACCCTTTCTATACCGCTTATCGTACCAGGCAGCGGCAGAATGGAGAGGTGGTGAAGGGTCGTTGGATCGTATCAGCACGCCTGGGGAGCGCCAACGTCTGTTGCTGTCGCCGTCCGAAATCAACCTGCTCCTGACCGACCGCGACTTCGATTCAAACGGTACTGTTCTGACATATCGCATTTCGTTCGTTTCTCACATGCAACATGAAAGACTACGAGCGATTGCTCCTCCTTGACGAGAACAACGTGAAGAAGTCACATGGGGCCACCGACTTTGAGATCAACAGGTTGCCGGTGGTGACCATGAGGTAACATCGGTCAACTCGCTGCACCATCCATATTCACCGATACTGTATGTGGGTAGTGAATCCATGCTCAATGCAAGCAAGGGCGGTGTCGTGGAGGACTCGAAGTGCTCGATCTGCCTGGAAGAGCTAGTAGTTGGGACGAAGGCGCGCATGGTGCCGTGCTTCCACAGGTTCCACCCCGGATGCATCGACCCATGGCTCAAGGACAAGGCGGAATGCCCCATTTGCAAGTATCCTGCTGTCGCGTAATGGAGAAACGTGTTGCACCTGTGACACTTTATACCCCGTGCAAGTGGATAACCTGTATTAAATTATACTTGCCTTGACGATTTTTGTCGGTTACTTTCGTTCATTTGGCGACCGCATGCGGATAGTAAAGACGGCGGAAGAGAATGAACCAGCAGATCGCCCGCCCGACTCGACCAGTGACATGCCAAGTGCTGAACTCGAGGAGGAGGAAGCAAATGATCCGAACTCGTTGGCGTCGCTGCTGGAACGCGTCCTGCAGAAAGTCTCCCAGCTACCCGGTGCGCTAGAAGCGCTCTCGTCGGATCCCCAGCTGCTGCACGATCTGCAGGAACATGAATTCCTCATCTACCCCATCACACCACCCGTATCGTCATCCCAAGATGCCAGCATTGTGCATCGTCGATCCATCAGTAGCAGCAGCCACCGATCAAACTCGGACGCTCAACTGTCCAGCGACGACGAAGACTTGACCGAGTCGGTGGACATGACGTCAGAGCTATTTGGATCCGAGTACGAAGCCGAGTTGCAGGCCGTGGAATCTCTGCAGCGAGGCAAGAGCATGAACATGGTCATTCCAAGAGGCTCGTCGATGCTCGTTCCAGCACACGAGCTGTCCACGTCCCCGAGCTACTCCATGGGCATGTTGAGCCTGTCTCCCGGCGCATCTTCCCAGGACGGCGACCCCGTCTCGGCGGTGTGGCCCCGCCGCCCAAACGAGTTTGCGTTTTCGCAGCCCGACGAAACCAAGGACGACGACTTGTACAACGAAGCGCTGTTTTCTGAGCTCGACGACGACACCGACGACAAAGTGTTTGACATGGAAGACATGCATCGTCACGGTGACGACGACGGTGACGGCGACGTCGAGTACGACGTCATGCGGCTCCGCATCGTCCGCGAGCGGCACCGCACGGGCTTTGAGCCGAGTCACGAGTTCCTCCCCGAGGCAGGCACGTTGGTTGGTGCCACGTATGTCGTACGTATACCGTTCATTGGTATTCGAACAGTGAATATTTTGCCAAACGTGGAGAGTCTATATATATATATATATATATTATTGAATATAATTTTCATTGGGATGATTCACGATGATGATAGGTCGAGTCGTTGGTGGGAGAAGCCGTGTTCAGCAGGACCTACAAGGCCACCGACACCCGGACGCAGTCGCCCGTGTGCCTCAAGATCATCCGCAACTCCAAAGAGTACTTTGACCAAGGAATCGATGAAATCCGCATCTTAACCTACCTCAAAGCCGCCGCTGGAGACCTGGACGACCACCATATTTTGAAGCTCCTGGACTCGTTTTACTTTAAAGAACACTTGATTCTCGTCACAGAGGTATATATATATATATATATATATAATTTTATATATATGGTGATCGTATGGATGAGCCACAAGGAGAGAGAATATATTGGTATGATTTGTAGTTGTACACTAGTTTTGATATATATATATATATATATATATACCGGTAGATATGCCAAGTGAAAGAATATACTATGTGAATTTACTATTATATTGTGTATATTTATATAAATAAATATACTATATTTGTATACTTACATAGATATATAAATATATACATCTACACAACATTAGTAAATTTTCATGCGAGACGTCGAGTGAATAGAACGATACTCTAACGGCGTCGACATACTGTATATATACAAAATATTACTATCCGCCAAGTGAAAATAGTCCAGGTTACGTGATTTTGAAGATATTTCTTGTGATATTGAAGATATTTCTCTAAATGTCACAAAGTTTGACGGTGTTGTGTAGCTGCTCAAAGCCAACTTGTATGAAGTATCAAGACCGGAGTGGCGGCAGAGGTACTTTACCCTACCGCGGCTGCGCAAGATCGCGGTCGAGTGTTTGGAAGCTCTGCAGTTTCTGCATGCGCTGGGCATGGTCCACTGCGACTTGAAACCCGAGAACATTCTCATGCAAAACTTCGAAACATGCCAAGTGAAACTCATCGACTTTGGGTCGGCGTCGTTTGTATCGGACGAGCTCACGTACTACATCCAGTCCCGCGCGTACCGTGCCCCAGAGGTACGACATATATATATATATATATATAT